TTAACCAAAGCCTTGAGTAAGAAATATAAAGTAAACAATGATTGTTAGTCCATAATTTCCCCTGTGTAACAGCACCTACTATATAAGTCTTGTCTGGTTCAGCTGATAAATTATTAAAGTATGAATTTGGAATCAGCAACTCTGACAGATGTTTACTCACTGAAGCAAAGAGATGCACACTGAGAAAATGTTTTATGTCATGAGTGTGTGTCTCTCTTGGACATATTTGTGCACAATGATTCAATATAAAGTGCTTCAAACACAGATATATATTGTTGGAATGTAATTACCTATATTTACTCAAATAGTTTTATTAAAAAATAAAAATAAAATAAACTAAATAAATAAATAATGACATGTCTAAATAAACAGAATAACAGAATCCCTGAATAGCAATTTTTTCTTTCTCATAATAGTTTATATTTTATGTTTCTGTCTGGTTTTTTTCTCAAGATCAAGTGTTTGTTGTTTTAATACTCATTTCGTGCACCACTACCCCGTGTTCTAAAGACGACGAAAAGCATTCATGTTTTCTTCAAAGTGAGTTTTAATTTCTCAATGCAGTCTGAACACAAGGCACATATTGTCTGATAGCAAGTCATGTAACTGCCATATGATATGATCCTGAGATATGATCATGAGGAAAACATTTCTTTTTTTAACTTGCCTCACGGGGCTTCTGTACTGAATAGTTATTGGTTGCTGCAATTGTTTCTCTTCTCCATACTAGCCTGAAAGAGATTACTTGTAATTGAGTATTTGAACATTGGGGTATCAGTACTTTAACCCAAGAAAAGCATACTTATTCCTCCTTTGCAGATGTCATTACAACATAGTTTTTGCCTTCAGGCAGTCAGAAGATAATTTTGAGGGGCTGTAAGATAATTTATTGGGGGTTTTTTTTTGCTTAGCTTCGGCCTGACATAATTAGTTGAATTCAGCACAGACATAGTTCACCTGTATCATTTGGTCACAAGTCAATAAGATTTAGAGCCACTACGTTAATATATGGCATTTATGTAGGCACCACCCATGTGTTTTATGAGGATAAGTATGTTGACAGAAAGATTAAGGCATTAATTAGTTTTGTTAATGATGTCGTTAGCATAACTTGTTATGTTTAATATATCATAGTGATTATGGGGGAACATTGCATGGTTCAACTTTTGCTTAAAATTTCTGTTTTTAGATGCAGACTTTAGAATAATTTCAAATGGCAGTTAGAGGGGTCAAAAAGGACAAAAGTTAAGTATAGATGAGTCAGACTTTTGCAGAATATGCGGTCCCTTCGGGTCATTAATGTAGATTGGATAGACTTTTATCAAGTCAAAAACATTTAAAAGGAATACACATTCACTTCTCAGGAGAGAATTAGTTTTTCCAATATTTTCTGCCTATTTGCTGAACAAGGACACATGAATTAATTCAGATTAGTGTTGGCTACAGTTTTTCAAAAATGCCGTCTATTTACTAAAATGGAGAGATTAATTGGTGCTTTTATGAAGTCTGGAGTTTGGTTAATGTTGACCTGTTCATTCAGCAGATGTATAATAAGCTTTCACAAAATACAGTTACTGGTGGTACATTAACGTCAAGAGATGCTCTGGTCAAGTGCACAAAGGAAGAAAATACAGCACTTAATCTCCACCACATTCATATTATATGACAATATCACCCCTCCTGGCAACAGTCACAGTACCATTTGTGTGTTTATGTGTGTGTTTAGTCTAAGTCTGCCTTATCCAAGCTTGAGAGCTGTTGCCAATATAAAATCCAACCAGACGGAGATTTCCTGTGCGCTGATACTTTGTGTGTTTAATGTTAGAGAGCCAGGCTTCTGTGTCGTGACACGTGAAGCACAAGAGAGAAGCTGTTCTTCAGTTAAAGGAGTTTGATATTTAGGGAAATATGCTTATTCAATTTCTTGCCGACAAGATTGATACCATTCTTATATCTCTCTCTTCTGGTTTTCTACTTGGTTAAATTAAAAATTATATCTCTCTGTTAAATATGAAGCAACAGCTTGGAGACTGTTAGCTTAGCTTAGCATAAAGAATGGGAAGTTTGAAACGGCCAGCTTGCTTTAATCTAAACAAAATCTGCCTACCAACACCTCTAAAGTTCACCAACCAATACATTATTTCTTGTTTAGTGTAAAAAAGCCAACCTACAGTTAGGTCCATGATGCTGGTTAGCTGAGCTTAGCATAAAGACCGGAAATTTTACACAGATTTTTGTGTGGATAAATAGTGAGATTTAGACATTTTTTTTACCTTTAAACAGACCAGGCTAGCTGTTCCTAATCTTTATGCTAAGCTAACTGACTGCTGGCTGTAGCCTCATTTAGGCTACTGTATGGACATTAAAGAGGTATTGATCTTCTCCTCGGCAACTGTAGACAAGAAATCAAATATTCCTTTGATATGAGATCTCTTGTCTGGCATTATTAACAATTAATCTCCTTTCCAAATAACTACAGGGAAAATGGTCACCTGCAAAAATTCACTAGTAAAGCTGGTAAAATAAGGATTTATATAATCTGTAAACCACCCATATAAATCCACAAGAGGTCAAAATTCAGCATGGGGCGATTCTGATAACCATGTGATTGTTACCTGAATTAATCCATCCTGACTTATCCTGTCAACCCTGGAGTCGGGCTGGTGGGAGGGCAGGACCGGGTTTTAAATTTACCCTCAGTTTTCTTGTAGTTTGAAGAGAGAGACGCCGCGTGTTCATGTGTGAGCAGTGTGTAGCAGCAGGGCTTATTCTGTCGACGTGTGCATTGACGTGCTCTGACAGGTCAATCAATGAGGAGGAGATGCAGTCTGCTGTTGGTCCATTGACCTGCTGTGCTAAAGGGAACAAGTAAGGGTCAACTTATCCTGCTCCTCATAGTGCCTGAACTAATTCCCTTTTCTACCCCTTGGTTTCCTTTATTTTTATTTTGGCAAGATTCAAAACAGAGCTGAAATGTCAATAAAGCAATTTTACAGTCGACAAGATGTGAGTGATAATTCACTTCAATGTGTACTACCAGAAGCAAATTGTCGAAGGACTGTACTGGTGGTTTTTGCCAATAAAATACAAATAATCTACTACAAAACTTCATTTAAGTGCATTTAAGGATGTTCTGACATTTGAGACCTTTGAGAGTTGTTTACCCCTACTACAGTAATGAAGTTCTTACGGTTCACTCTCAGATCACTCATAATAAAAAAAACTAGCGAGTGGACTACACAAGACATAGTAAGCCAGCTAATAGTCCAACAGTAAAAAAGGCCCCTTGCCGCCTGTCTATCATCACAAGGGTCTCGCCAACAACTAAACGCCAGTCTGATATTTATTCTTGTCTGGCCTCTTTCTCAGTCACTCTCTCTTTTTCTCTTTTCTTCTTTGGTCTCTTCACCTCTACCATGATGTCCAGAGGCTGCTGATCCCATTTATGTTGCCCGCTCGCCCAGCTCCGGTTCTGATGCCCATTTTGGTGCGGCTTTGTGTTCAGTTAGTTGTAATCTGAAACTTCACTGCTAGATGCCACTAAATCCTATACAGTGGGCGTTTAAGCATTTTAAGCATTTATTTGATGAAAATAACTTATTTGATTCCTTTTTTTTTATTGTCTACCCATTTTACAGATTCAGACAGAAGCTTTCCAAATGTTCCCAATTTATTTTTATTATTGCAGTGTTTTCTGTTTCCTAGCAATGCAAATACAACGAATGGTTTATAAGAACTTATGAAAAAAAATTTACTTAACCATGGTCAAACAAGTTTTTTTTTTGGAGCATCAGTAAACAAGGTCAGAGACAGTTAACGATACAAGAAAAACAAGAGCAAGAGGAACATTTTATTGTCACGTATGATATTAAATATATATATATAACAGCAACATCTGCTTCATATTTCCATGGGGACAGCATGCAGAAAGTGAAAAGTTTGTTTTCATTCTGAATTTATCTGTCATTGCATTTCATCTGCCCCATCTGAAAGATACTTCATTATCCAACCTTGGAAGACAGCTCTGTCCAGCACAGTTGACAAATGAACAGCCTTAATTGTGTTGATCACTTTAGCTTATGTTCATAGCTGGCACTAAAACTAATTTTAAATCTGAAACTCAATCATCCACATATTGAACAAGCTCGAATAGAAGCAGATCATAATTTTCAGATTTCATCTTTTGACTCTAAAGTGTTTCCTGGAATACATTATGGTGTGTTTTTATGCAGAACTAGACCATTAATATCTGAGGACCATGTTGTATTGTTCAGTTAGTACACTGCCACAATAGCATGCATCTTTCAATAAAGTTGTTTGTGTTAATGAGATGTATTGTCAGTGCAAGTGTATTTAAGAGTCTATTTAAGATCATCTACTTACTTATTTTTCCTGTGAATCATGTTTTGTTATGTTGATAAGTGTGAAAATACGAAATTGGAAAAAATGGCAGTGTGTTTTATTGCATTCCATGAAAATCTCATGCAGTTTTTTCATCTCTTTCTAACTGAGAAGAGAGTCTGGTGCTCAGCTGATGTGTTCTTACTGTATAATCCAGTAAACATACAGTTTGAATGTTCACTCTGCAAAGGCATATGTTCCTCTGTACACTGTACTGTATACTGAGACCCTTCCATCAAGGTTTACTCTATATACTGTAGGGATACGGTGAGATTCAGAAGAGGCTGAGCCGACACGCTGAGCATGTTTCAGGACTTTTTTGTGATAAAAGTAACATTGTTTTTAATTTTAGGTAATTTCTATGCCCTTGTTATAATGTATCACAACTTATTAATCGTCCTTTTTGGCCTCACCAAAAGAAACAATGTGTGTACTAATGAAAACATGTTAAACTAAATTGGCATTTATTATAGTGCAAAGTTGCCTGAGTGGCAGAGACAATCTGTGGTCAAAATAACCACTTTAAAAATAACACCAGTGTGAGGAAATGCTTCGCTTGTAGAAATCAGCGGGTGACAAGGAAAAGACAGGAGGCAGTATTCTTATAAGGAGGGGAAATTTTATTTATAACACATGATGCTGACAGGGAGTCTCCAGCTCAGCGTCTATATTACAAGGTTGATCTGCAAGGCTGCGTATTTACTGTACGGTATTTGGAAACCAAGATTGCAGTGGCACTATAAACACACGCTTGAAACAACAGATTCTTTCCCTTTTTTTGTTTTTTTCTTCATTTTCTTACAAAATGGTACAAACAACAATACAAAATATTTGTGCTGTTGACAATTTACAAAAAAGTCTTTTGACTTGATAACTGTGCAATTATTTTTTCAGCTTTTTTTCTCCTTCATTTGAAACTATGTGAGTATGGTACACCAGAATCCCTTCTGGACTGCAACCTCGGTCATGCGGGCTGCGACACATTTTAAAATGTTGTATGGTTACTGTAGTAGAACTCATCTGTCCATTATAAAAAGACACATGCAAAAAGCTCCAATTGTACAGTTACAGTTTGCCTACCTTGGTCTGTTTAGCTTCAAGCAAATACTACATTATGTACACTTGGACTTGAGCAGTATTGGGCGAACTCACATGAAAACACTCCTGCCTGTCTTTGTAGTTCTGGCCATTGCAGAGCAAAAAAACTGTCTTCTGCTGGAGCCTCCCGTCATGTGTGTGTCCATGGTCAGGCATTGTCCCGAATGAGACCAAGTGTCCTTTAACTAACACCAGTCAGAGAGGCAGAAGAGTCGTTGTTGGCACAGCCAGAAGACAGGGGTGGATTACAATTACAATAGATCAACCTTCATTCTATAATTTGCTAATCCTCCTCTCACTTTAGCAAGGGGACGTCAATAAGACAAGTGGACCAACTATGTAACAAGTCAATCTTCCTTCATTTCCCCCTCACAAATTGCATTTAAATGGGAGGTCAAGTTTGACCGACTCCACTGATGATTTGCTGCCATGTGTCATTGCAAGTAATTGATAACATTCAGTATCATAATGGCATTGTGTCACGTATGCATGACACTGTTATAAAAGGTCAGTTACCTTGTGTAAGGTGTATGTGAGTGTGGCGGGGGGCTCCTGCTATGTTCGGCCCTGAATCCGGTGTGAACGTTTGATTAGAGAGCATGAGCATTATAATGATGTATGTGTTTATTTTGTCAACGCTGGATGGCCTTCAGTAATGTTTGAGCCCTGCAGCTGAATTAGAACAATGCTGAAAGGGCTCATATAATATAGAACACTCACATATATACAGTAAGGCCTAGAGGAGTGAGTGTGTGCTAGTATAGACTGTACAAGTTGGTCTGAAGTTGAACCTTTTCACTGTGATGAAGCTACACTTGAACAGAGACATGAGTATGGCTGTAAGCTCATATAGAATCACACAGATTCTTTTAAATGCACATGGCTTTTTGTGGTGAAATATACATTGCCAAAACTGGAGTAAAAGAAAATGCAAAGACCACACAGAAACAGATAAATCGTGTTACCAAATGTATAAAAATGTTCTGTATATACAACAGTTATATGTCAGAAATAATCACAAATAGCAGAAAGTAACAGCTGTGTTTATTTTGTGAAGATATTCTGTAGGCTGAGGAGCAATCAGATAGAAAAAAACTTACTTATCCAGCAGCAAGCTGTAGAAACTACTGCTTTTCTCATGTCTATTTGTTTCTGCTCTAAGCTGACAGCTATCCTGAAAATCACCCATTTGTCTATTCATGTAAATCAAGAGATTCTGACCCTGTTAACCTTATTATTCTATAACCTTTGTCCCCTTGTTTATAATCAAATTAAATTCTCATCCTTATTTCTGTGTTACGGCATGATGACTATTTGCACCAACAGGCAATATTTTTCTTTATATCTTGCCACAAGTTCATTCCTTTCACTCCTTCAAGTTTTTATTAAACTGAAGACTGTTTTTATCTATAGCTCTTCATATAAACCATGAGCAGGTGAGAAAATGGTTGAAAAGCAGTAGAGGAAAATGGAGGAGTGGAGGATCCTTCTCATCACATCATCTGAAGAACATTGTCATTTCTGAGATTCCCTTCAAACATTCATCATATTCATAATTAATAGAAAATCTGGTCAGTCCACATCAAGTTGAAACTGGCTGCAACCGAGTAGTGTTTCAATGGGCACTCAGAAGATAAGGAATGATTAAACCTTTCTATCATTCACCAGCATCTCACTGGTCCCTCTGTGAAATGTTTTGCATATTTAAATAATTTAATACAAAGACTAAAGCTCTTTTTTTTTCAGTTCTCTATATGCAGTTCTGGGGGCCTGAAATATGATTACAAAAGCCTGTGGGTAGCGCTACTTTTTCATTAAGTCACAACAACACTGTCTTTCAAAATGTCTGTTTTTTAAAGCACTATTACTGAAGCTTTAGTTTTGCAAGTTTGCTTTGATAAAGTGCAGAACTTCATAACAGACTTTCCCTTCCTCTAACTTCTTTTCAAAACCTCTTGAACTTGCAGCCAAAAATTTCAGGAGAAAATTTCAGATGAATGAAATGCTGCCTGAAGAGAAACAGATTGTGAAGGCGCTAAATCCCTGGCTGAGGCTCAGTTCCCCCCCATTTCTGTGACAGGGACCAGCACCAAAGTTTGTATATTAAAAGTTTGCTGAGAGACAACAGTGAATCAACAAAAGAAAAATAAAAAAAAAGAGAGAAAGGGAATGGGGCTCACAACTGTGTATGTAACGCTATCAAAGCTATTTGAAGTAATCCTGTATTTTCTTTTCCCTCATGTTTGTACAGTTTATATAGTTTTCTTTGACACAATTACCACACAATAACTGGATCCATGTTAATTACCTTTGGGTGAAGGGATAAACATGCAGACCTTAAATGATCTTAGGCAAAGTCTCCTTAAATAACCCTCATTTGTACTTCATATACATTAACATTGTAACACACGTGACTTGTCGATCTTCAAAATTTAGTAACAAGCCTTATCAAGTTTTAGGTGCAAATACCGAGAGCTCAAAACAAACACAGCTGCAAAGCCACAAAAGACACGCAATGCATTTCTTCTCTAAGACAGTCCCATAATGTATTTTTGTGATTTCAGTAATCACATTCAAGTTGGCTGTGGTCTAGGAGCACAGATATGCCTGACTTGAAAAAGTTAATGATTTGTCCATAACTTACAGACACACTGTAGGCCTATGTACAGTATGTCTACATAAAGCGCCCTCGTAAGCCACTCAATGCTCCTCTGAAACCAGCACTGACATCTCCTGCAGCTACCACAGTCCTGCAGGACGATAGAAATGAGAAGGGAAGGTCGGAGTTAAAGGGTCAGGGGTCATATGGGGGCATGTAAGCCCAGAAAATGGCAACCAATCCTGAGTTAGCGGGAGTCTGCTAAAATATGCACCACTGAAGGCACTTTTTAAACAACAGTGCTTCTGTTCTAAGTAATTCAAGTTCAAGAAATAATAAACCAGGGCCCTCCGTGCAAGAAGGACTTTCATATCTGTGTTCTTGTTCTTCTTTTTTTTTCCTTTTGTTCCCCTCAGACAAAGCAAGCTGCTCAACCTAAAGCTTCTACAGAGAGGCAGGCGGGGGCTGACAGCGAGGGAAAAGTGAAAACCCTCAGGAATAGGGAATGGCTCGAATCAGAGGGGAGAGGGGACAAAAAAAACCTGCACAAATTAAAGGAAAAACTAAATCTGACTCCTAAAACCTACATCTAGAATAAAACCTAAAATGAAACAAAAGCACAAGAGTTTTGAAAATACAAACTATGAGAAGCCTGCAATTCAGAGCTTCAGTTTTCAGTCTTAGACAGGCTTAGAGCAGGAGACGGTTGAGAAGAGCACCCGAAACTGACACACGGCACTGGTCCTCTGTGGTGGATAATTTGATTGGTTGGTTGGTTGGTCAGTCAGTTGGTCAGTGTGAACATGTCATTGTTAACGAGTGTTCAATAAGGCTGTAATAGCCTCATATGTTAGAAGGACAGAGCATGGCAGGCCAGCTAACGGGACGAGGGTGTGTGTGGGTGTGTGTGTGTGTGTGCATGTGTGACTGGGCAGATTTAATCATCATCCCCTCCTCCATACATGTCGGCCAGCTTCTTAAAGCGGGGGCCCCAGTCGTTGAGGTAGTCATAGTCCTGGTCCCCTGTGCTGGAGGAGTTGAGGGAGCTGACAGAGCCAGCGGTAGAGCCGCTGCCCTCATAGTCAAACACCAGCAGGGAGTCATACGGAGGAGCTGTGGGGTCATTGTCTGCCGCTCGCAGACCCTAAACAAGACAAAGAAAAGGAAAGGTTGTGGTCAGTACTCACATGCCTGCAGTGAAAAATGTAAAAAAAAAAAAAAAAAAGGCAGGTTGATGAGTGATGGAAAAGCAACAAGTTGTTGGAAGTCAACTCCAGCAAATTAGTAAAGATATTCTGACACGACAGGTCCGCAGTATGGATCACACTGGAACCTACATTTCCTATGATGCAACAAAAGCATCTTTTTCTTATACACTCCCTTTCTGGTAAATGCATACATCTTCCAAACTCAATTCTCCAGTTTTTAACTCCCAATCTGGAATTTCAGATTAATCCCAAAAAAAAAATCATATCCCGATTACCTTTATCCTACATACCTGCTGCATTTGTTTCTACAGTGATGTTCGACGTGCACGTTATGTTTTGTTGTATGTTTTAGACACGGCACAACTTTTACTTGAAATATATGGTTTGCGCATGTGCGACAAATCCGGCCATAGACACCGAAAACTAAATTGTGTATCTGCTCTGTGATTCAGATCTGCTCCATTATATGGTTTCTTCCTTGGCCCATGGTATACCCTTCCACCAAGTTTCATTAAAATCAGGTGAGTATTTTTTCCATAACCCTGCTGATAGAGAAACAAACAAACAAATCCTCAAACGGCTAACTTCCCTGGCCGAGGAAATAATGTTTGCAGAGATTTGAAATTAAATTTTTAGCCTTTCATAGCATTATGTTAGTCTTCAAAATTGTATTTCAATCTTGCAAACCTTTCTTAATAGGTCTCAACCAAGCTTTTTTGTTGCTGTTTTGAAATATTACACGATATTCATCCCATACGCTTGTGTCTTAGAATGACAAATGAGGTTCATTGACCTGAAGGTTAGGCAGGTGAGGAGAATGGACTTCATTCACTGGAATACAGAGAGATCCTATGGATAGAAACCTAAAAAGTCACCCCAGGGGTACAGTGCGTGGCAGGAACACCATGTGTTTGCTGTGTTTGTGTTTTACCAGACTGCTGGAGCGAGATCAGGTGAGTAAATGTGTGAGCGAGAGAGAGAGAGAGAGAGAGAGAGAGAGAGAGAGAGAGAGAGAGAGAGAGAGAGAGAGAGAGAGAGAGAGAGAGTGTGTCAAGGCTGGATGGATCAAAGCTGAACAGCTGCCAACACCTCTCGAGTGTGAACGTGTTGTCACAAGTCTGTCAATCAGCATTTTCTCGCATCAGTGTGCCAACGCTGGAGTTGTGTGTGAGACAGTGTGTGTGTGTGTGTGTGTGTGTGTGTGTAAAGCTGGCACGGTGAGAGCAGCTGTAAAATAAAACAAAACTCTGCGTTGTTTCCATCACCATGCTGAAGAGTTTACATATTGAACAGCATCCAGAAATGAGTAATCACATTAAATGTCAGATCGATGCAAAGTGAGAGTGAGAGGCCAGCTCTCTGTTGGAGAAACAATCTAATGACGGCAGAACTCTTGTGCATACGAGATGTAACATGCGTCTTCAATGAGCGAGTGTAAATTCACCTCGTGGATGAAGTCCCCGATGTCTCCAGGGTGGGGCACGACAGGTCTGATCGGGTACTGGGACTCAGGGATGATGGGACGTTCGTCCACCCTGCGGACACCAGGTGGCTTGCTGATGATGTGCTCCAAGGAGTCAGGCTGCTGCAGCTGGCTCAGGTCATAGTCCTACACAGCCACAGGGGCATACAGATGTAAGCAGGCATACATAGAAAGCGTGTGTGTGTTGGGGTATGTCTCTCAGGATCTCACCTGGTCCTCTTCTCCTCCTCCCTCTTCATCGTATTTGAGGATGTTGTCTCTGACATCATCTTCAGGGTCAATAAGCAGCTGCTTGGTCTGTCTCTCCTTCTCTCTGCGCTTGATCCACACCACGAACAACAGCACCATGCCTACAGCGACAAACACATGAACATAATAAACTTTTAGGTCTGTATTAATTGCTGATTAATTGTTAAATGCATTAACAAAACTAAGACTAACCCCACTAGCAGCTCTGTGAGGCTGTACTTAGGCATAGCGGTGCTTTGAGAGAAATGCAGTGAAGTTGGCATTCTAACATGCTGATCTTAAGCAGGTACAATGTTTACCATGTTCACCATTTTAGCTAAGTTACTGTAGCATGGTCACATGACAATTAGTGCAAAATACTAAGTACATAAACCAAAATAACATTTTGACCTAATGATAGCACTAGATCAAAAATTCAGGGGTTCACCAAAATTATTACAATTTAAGCTGAGGGGGACATAAATGTGTGTACCAAATTTGATGGAAATAAATCAGATAGTTGTTTTTCACTTTAAATCACAAATATCAGTCTGCTGGTGGCTCTAGAGGAAAAGTCAGAGGATCCCCAACGACAGTAAGATTCATCCTCTAAAAACAAGATTTCTCAGGATCCACCCTGTAGTTGTTCAACTATTTCAGCCGAATGCCATCTCCCTCCCTTATTATTCCTCCTGTATTTCTTTTCTTTTCAGAATTATTTGATTTATAAGTTGCATTTAATTATCTTGTATCTTCCCTGTGTGTTCTTCCTTCCTTTCCTGTCTTCCTTTGTCTACTTGTTCAAATAAGCATAAAAATAAATAAAGGAAACTTTATATTGGTGGCAGAATTAATAATGATAAGAATGGATCATTCACACACAATATGAAATGTAAAAATATTTTGGAAAAATCTTACAGCTGTGGGTGAATTTGTCTATAGAACTTGTCTATGTGTATGAACTATGCAACCCACAGCAACAAAGTAAGCCAGCAGCATGAATCACTAGCAAGACAGATAGCAGCAGATATTTACCCTACCAGGAAAAGAAGACGAAAATCTTCATGTCAAGAGATACTGGAGAGGATTCCAGCAGTCAAGGCATTAATCAATTATACAAACTATTGTTCATGTTGTTGTATTACAGCCTAGTGAATGTTTAATGACTGTGCCCTGAACTGCACTTTTTTGACAGAAAGTCAAATCACAGCTTTAACTTTTAGTAAATATGTGTGTGGGTGTGCAACATGTCTGAGAGTGAGGCGTCAGTGGGTGAATGTGATATATAAACAGTTGATACTCACTGAGCAGTATGATGATGCAGATGAGGATGGAGATAATGGCTCCAGTGCCCAGGCCAGCGGCTGCCACGGCCCCGAGGGTGGTGCAGTCTCCGTTCTCATCGCAGGGACACACCTTCACTTTGATGACCGACCTGTTGGACAGCGGTGGGTTCCCCGAGTCCGACACAATTATGGGGACCTCATATACCCCCGGCTCTAAATATACCTGGTACCGTAGCCCCAGACGGGCGTAATCACCTGTGTGGATTGAAGAGGAAAGATACTGGATGTAAATAATCATTTCATTTATTAACTATAATAAGAGTTTTAGAAAAGAATTTTAACTATTATAAACTCTTTTCTACCTGGGGCCTACATATTCCAATGCTTCCACATAGGACCAGGCTTTACAGCTGAAATCAATATCATGTAATCATATAATGTACTGTTTCCATATTTTATTCTTTTTAGTATAATAAGGTACTAAAAGTGTAGTATGGCTGTATGGCAAGAAAGATTTTGGTCAGAGGCATAAAATAATGGATAAAGCTTGGTAATAAATGGCTGGACTAATTCTACACTGTGTTTTGTTACACATTTATACAGTGGCACTGTTGTTCTATGCGGGCAGCTGCTCACCACTGATCCGAGAAATCGTCCAGTTGCGACGAATGCTGGTGGGAAAATTGGGCAGCTCGAACACAAAGGGTCCAGCGTTGGGGTCTGTGTCGGCATCAGCAGCAGTGATGTTGACACCGTTGACGTTTCTGTTCATCCGCTCACAGATCTGAGACTCCTTGGGTATGAGTGCTGGCGGGTTGTCGTTAATATCTATCAGATATATCTGCAGCGTGCCTGTGCCACTGGCTGCAGGAGAGCCTGGGAGCAGAAAGAGGGAAGAGAAAATAGCATCAGGACGGGAAGAAAAGATGACAAGGGAAGATGTGTGCAGTGAAAAGGACGATTGAGAGAGAAGAGGGAGATGAGTTGAAGGCCAACAGAGGGGAGGCAAATAATGAAAGAGAATAAAAAGAGAGATAAAAAGGAGGTGAAAGGAACACTGTTTATTCACGGTGTTGATGTAGGAGTCCTGTGAAGCTGGAGGAGAATTTCTGGCCTTGACAAAAACACTTCTGACAGTTATGCTTCCAACTCCTCTTTCAGCCTTACAGTCAAATCAAAACCATCAGAGTCGATCCAGATGCAGGCAGAGCACATCCAATCGCCTAGAGAGGGTTTAGGTACAATAATGATGACTGTAACACAATCAAACAAGTCCTTGTCTGTGTGTATTTACACAGTACTAGGAGAGCCATCCATGATTTTGTAGATAAAGGCACTTCTGTCTGCAATACTAACAATGCCTTTCTGAAATATGAACAAGGCATTCTCATTGCGGTGCACACAGTCCCCAATCTTCACTTAAATACACTTGTAAATACTATATGCCTGTGAGGATATCTCCACTGCATGCTAACATACATACTTACTCTCTGCTTACAGATATTGAAGCACTCTTGAAAATGATCTACTCAACTTTCTATGACCCTTGGAAGATCTCCAAAGTAATTGTTATTGTTACATTGTTACCTGAGCAAGTAAAGCAATGTGAAAGCTGGTGTGACTTTCCCACACTGCAGGCCATAGCAGCCTATCACATAATGTATTTCATTTATTTAGCGTAGACAATATGAATGCATTCTCAACTCTGTGGTCAGATTTAGGTGAATATATCATTTTTGCCTGCTCTCCTCTGGGTAGGTTGAAGTTAGTGGACCAACTGCATTAAACCTTCAACAATTATGGCATTTAAAAAAAAAAAAAAAAGTTCCATTTCAAATTGCCCTAACTGACATTATAATTCTCAATTCAGGAAGTGGCAGTAGCACTGGACTGGCCTAGATGTATATCATTTTGTATGTATATTTTAAAAATCGTATTATACTGTCAATACAGATGATGTTGTGATATTCTCGTAAATGAACTCTTGTGTACCTTGCACCAATGTTGCAGGTCCATGTTGTAACTCTGTGGAAACTGTTAGGACAATTGGAGAAATCTGGTCTGATGACAATGGAGGCATCACTAGTATATTGTCAGCCTTGGACTGTAATAACATGCATTGATGCACACAGACACACACACATGCACACACCTCATCTGCAGACACAATCCTGAAGGCCTTTGCATTGATTGAACAGAGCAACAGACCATTGGCAACAGCATTTATTGACAATTGGGTGTAAAGAATAGACATTTTAAAAAATCAGTGAGTGACATAGCAGAGTGGGGAGAAGAATGCATCGCTGTGTATGTGTGGTATAAAAATGTGGCACAGAAGAATCTGAAAAAAAAAAAAGAAGCCCTTAGCAGTACGAGGCTAAGGGCTGTTTATTGAGTGTGTGTCAGGGGGTGACGACCCTTAGCTGCCTCCAATTACGAGTCATTTCCCCGCCATGCCCCACTGGCTGAGCCATTGGATGGAATCAAGCGACCCTAGGGCCCATCTCTGGGATGAGATAAGGGCGATGTAATTTACAAAGATTTATGCAAAGCTTACAGATCTGCCAATTAAACATGGCAACAGAGCAAGACATTTGCCACAAGAAGAGAAAGAGAAACTGCAAGTGAGTCCGTCAACAGTTGGAGCTCTGCCTGACTGGTAATACTACAATTAATATTTAGATCCCTACATGAAGTTCAAATGATTGATAAAGACTTATCCAGTGATTAGTGATGGATGTAGCACTGGGGCTCTCAAGTTTCACAAGAGTTTCAGAAAAAGAAACGCCCATAAAAGTAGTCATATTTTTAAAGACTGGGTTAAGACTGGTTTAAAGTTGCTTTGTCTAGAGAGGAATCAAATGGACAAGTGACAGAAAATCTTATAGTTTAGTTTTGTCAGACCTGGACTATTCACATAAAAAGCGAATAACTACAATTAACCAGGTTATATAATAATGTTACTCTTTAAAATATTATCCAACAACTTCTAAAAACTTTAAATACATTAAAAGCTATTTAGAGGAACATCTTATTTGATTATCAGTAATTAAACATTACCCAATAATTTTATCATAAGTTGCTTCTTGCGCACGTTATACACATGAATTCAAATTTAACACTGAAATATAAACACACGTGGTCCCTAAACACTCAGATTCAAACAACAACAACTACAACAACAACATACACACACAGACACACGGAGGCTTTCCCATTCTGCTGGTTTGTTAATCCCAGCCATGTATGGGGGACATGTGGAAGCAGCTTGCCACAGCTGATAGGAGAATTATGTGGGTTTTAACCAGCTAAATAAATAATTATGTTTGTGTAAATTCCTCAAAAGGATTTGTATTAACTCCTTTTTTTGATGGTGGCTCAGTGATGTGACGCATGGTGAAAAGACTTGTAGCAAGCCTACCATATGTTCTTTGAAGAGCACGTAAACACTTAAACAATAGGTGCAGGCCACATAGGTGTGTGTCAGAAGGGTCTGGGGCAGTCAGATTGTGTCGGGGGAGCGACATGAAAATATTGTAGAAATACAAGTGTACTTCTCACCATGCTGTCACCACTTCTCCCGGTCTACTATCCTCACTGTCTCATAGTACTACTTACCATAATCCCTCTCACGTTATGATGGATGACACTCCAGCAACACCCAAATAATCAGACTGATGTACACACGCAGAACTTGAACTGCCTTCTTATATTTTGGACTTGCCACAGGTCCAACATCACCCAAACCTCACAGTAACATAAACTGCACTGAAAAATAAAAAGTTTCTAAAGTGCCTATAGGTTCTTCAATGAACAGGTAACATATTGAAATGATAAAGAAGTTCAGGAAATAACAGGGTAAGAAAATAGAGGAGGAAATCAGATGTTTGTGCTGTCCAAACAACGGGAGCAAGACAACCTCTAATCCTGCTGCCTCTTCCTTCCCATCAGCACAGCAGGTTACACGTCATGGTGTCTGACATTGTCAATCATCGCAAAAGAAAAACACACATATGCTCACATAAATGTGCTTCAAAAGAGTGCATTCTTCGCACATGCTCACACCTATAAATAAACCAATGTCTCAAAGCCAGCTCGACTTAAGGTAAACACACCAGTGCTCTGCAAGTCACAGATAAGGCAATTTGGGAGGGGAAAAAGCGTTCCCTTTTTACTTGAAAAAAAGCACTCACTTCCACTTGGGGAACTTATTTGTTTGCTGTGATTGACTTTGTGCTCAGTTAAACTTGAGGCAGAACAACTATATATGCCACAGTGTGAGAAAAAGAAGGAGAAGGCAGTCATGGATAGAAGATAAGAAGGAGGAGAGGATCAAGAGTGTGACCAGTTGTGTGAATCCAGGATTTTCTCAAACTCCAACCCAGCTGCACTGCACTTGAAAGCTGCCGAGCTTTCATGTCTTTATATTGCTCTAAATCTACACAAATGCCTTCATTTTTGTCAAACAGTAAGCAACATTTTTGACATTTCACATCACTCTAACTTGTATTTACCAACACGTCGGATAATTACCTGCAATGATTAAAATTCTACATCATTACGAGCATTCATCTCAAGCTACACTGGAATCAACAGTGAGTATTTTGCTCAAGGACACTTTGTGTTTGAGGGGCTGCAGTCACTCAGTTACTTATCCCACCCACATGTCTCCAGCTGATTTGGCTTGAACAGAAAACCCCCCAGTCATAGTGAGTGTAAGAGGCATACATGATGTAGGCAATGTGAAATAGCTTTAAAAATGACTTAGAGCAAGTTTCAGGGTGCTTTCTAGGACGTTTCATTCTCGGTGTTCCACCACCACAATTACTGGATTTAAAAACTACCACAGAGAAAAAATACTAAATGAGCAGCCAAGATCAGCCAATATTCTGCTATAAATCATAATAATGAGTGTGAAAAATATCAGCTTCAAATGGATTCAGAATAAAGAAAGTAGCAGTTTTGGCAGTTTTGGCATTAAAGGGATAGTTAAGGTTTTTAGAAGTGGGTTTAAGGTACTTATCCATAGTCAGTGTATTACCTACAGTTTGGAGAAGTAGACAGGAGTCCTGGGACAGAAGTAGAGCTATGCGCTGCTGTGGACGAGGGTTGCAGAAAAATATATTTTAGCCGCATAAAAAAGGTCCACCTCAATATCTTTTTAAGTATATGCTATATTTTGAATATTTTCGCTGCCTTTCCTTGCCATCAGACAGATTTTGCTTTGGCACTATATAGCTAAACAGCTCATCTCCGGCGCAATACAGTATGCTGCACAGTTGGGTTTATTTGTAGGAATATGGAAAGTCTATGGTTAGTGCCAAAGAAAAAGGCTGTCTGATGGCGTGGTAAAGCAGTGAAAATATTTGAAAAATAGCGTACACAGCCTTTTTTTTACGTGTCTAAAAATTTTTTTCTGCAATCCGCATCCACAGCAGTGCATTGTTTCTCCAAACTCCGGCCTCGCTAACCGCCATCTACTGTAGTTAATACCTCGTACAACCCCAAAAACCCAAACTCTTCCTGTAACTGTTTTAAGGGCTGAAAAATTAACTGTGCAGGAATGCTAAAAAATGTGGGAATGAGGACATAAATGGAAAGGACAAAACATGGTAGATAGGAAACACTTCAACTGGTTTAAAAAAAAAAAAAGGCACACTGATTAAACATGCACATTAAAAGCATCTCTTACCATTGTCTGTTGCCAGGAATGTGGCTTCATATATATTGTTTTTGACATAGATGGACTCCCGGTCGAGCATTGCTGTGGTTACGATCTGACCGTTGGTTCTGTTGATGGACAACCAGTCTGCAGGGTCATTCAGCTTTGAATACCTAAAGACATACGAGGACATATTGATGTAGAAGTTAGCGCTAGCGTTTAAAAACACTTGTACATTTTTTCTCACGTCTGTGCATACATAGATTGCCTGCACATACACACACTCACAAAATCACAACAGCCTGACCTTCACACAGTTTAATTCTTCATTGACTTCTCCTCCAGAGCCTGCAGCCTAATTTCACCTCATTTTTCACTCCTGTGTACCAAGCACTGAAGTCAATTACCTCCCTAGTTAAGCACTGCTGCAACTGCATGCACATATTCTAGGAAGTGTTTGCTTATGCTAGGGGAGGCTATATTGCCCTACAGGTTCATATACATACATGCTCTTGTGCTTGTATGTTTGCAAATGTTCTTTGGCATGGGGCAGCTGTGTATAGGGTGGAGATTTGATGATAGGATCTTGGAACTGATCGTCAAACAGGAAAGTTGATGTGGTAGCAGGTGGTGACACTCCCCGGGGATAAAGGGCAGGCAAGAAACAGGGGAATCATCTCCAGGATTGAATCCCAATCTCACTCTGATCTAACTGTTCTTGTTTCTCGGGCTTTTGTAGCTTTCGGCTTGTTCCACAATTCTATCTGATCTCTCTCGACCCGTGCTGCCTCACCTCATCTTGCAGTGCTTTTGTATTCATACATTTTCTTATCCCCGTCTGTATCTTCTCATCCTCGTCTTATTTGCTCTGTGATACAAAGTTCATTAACTGCCACCTCTCTTGGTTGCTTCACACTTCTGCGGGTGAATCATCAGCGGTGGACATGCAGCGCCTTGAGCTTACACAATGAGGTTTCCACATCAATCCGATTTCATTTACTGAATGTCAGTTTGGGCAATAAGGGCATGTTGTTATGTGACATACACTTCCAGCTTTTAAATCCATCCAAATTGAAATGGATTTGACCTTAACCTTGCTTTTTATATTTATTGAATTGTAGTGTACTTACTGTCAGTGTACGACCCACTTGTTTATTAACATTAAATGCTGCATGTACATTTCTATTTACATGGCGCAGAATGAAAGGCTGGAGGGGTGGGTGGCGGTGAGGAGGGGGGTTGGACAGAGAGTATAATCTCTCTCCTGCAGTGAGGGAGGTGGGATTTTCCCAGCAGGCAGTGGGCATGATCCCAGGCATAGCGCAGTGCGGGGAAAGGGATCACAGAGATGACATTCCCACACTCTTGACGGTTTCACACAGGCTAGCCAAGCCCACAGCCACTAACTGGCGGACTGTGAAATCACCACCAGGACTACAGTGAGTCCATCACAGTGGGAGGGTGGGATAAAAGAGTGAAATGATCAGGAATGGGTAGAAGGGGAAAGGGGGACAAGTAGAGGTGATATTCGGAAGTAGCAGCATGGCTATATGATTTGGTTATAATATGCTCATTAAGACTGACTTGATACCTACTGCTCTTCTATGTCCAGCTGTATCTCTGCACGGCTTTGCCATGCCAAACTGACTGAAAGAAATGCTCCTTTTGTCTTCCAGTGGAAGGTGGACAAACTGGTAATGTTACTTAAATCAAAGCGTCTGTTCTGTCAAATGTATTAAATGAATAGTTTGACATTTTGGGAAATACTGCATTCTTGCCGACAGCTAAATGAGACGGTTGACACCACTCTCATATATGTACAATAAATATGAATCTAAATTCAGCAGACAATTAGCTTAGCATTAAGACATTTAGAAGCAAGGGTAAACAGCTACCATGGCTCTGTCCAGCGTTTAGAAAATCTGCCAATAAGCACTTCTTACGGTCATTATTTAACACAGCGTATCTTGTTTGTTTTATCAGTACACTATTTTAGTCTGAACATAACTCTTTGTAAAACCACAATTTGTTGATAGACGGTTCATATAATCACCTGCAAAATATTGTTTTGAAAGTACTTGCCTGGTTTCCCCATTCTTCCATTCTTTATGCGAAGCCAAGCTAATTGTCTGCTTTGTCTTCATATTTAGTGTACATACATAAGAGTGGTATTGATCTTGGTCATCTAACTATCGGCAAGAATTATTATTATTATCATAATTATTTCCCAAAAACGTCTGTGTTTGGGTGGAAGCAGGTAACTCTTGGATAGTATCTTAAATCGTGGGCAAATATAACCAATATTATCTGCATAGCTGTAAGAGGAAATTAGTTTTTCTGTAATTTGAAAAAGTGTTTTTTATGCAATTTTTCCTCCATAATGGCTATAAAATACCACCGGGAAATATTCTTTCCCAGCCGTACTGAAAGATAGCACAAGTGGCCGTGTGCTCTGTGACGATAAAAGCCGTAACACAAAGGTTTGTTCACAAAGCGAGGGCTCTGTCCACCACCACACTTTAATTAAGTCTCCTAAACAGCCCTCAGTGCAGATGTAATAAACCTTATATGAAGCAAATGAAGTCAAGAATGAAAGTCTTTGCGGCCAAGCTGATTTCCAACACACTAAAATAGGCAATCCACTGCATTATTATTTCTATGCTAAAAGAAAACCCTGGATAAGTTAAGGGCAGAATGTGGTTGGCTTTAAACATAATTTTCACTTACTTCACTTTTTCTCAGTAAATGATAGGGGCACTCTGGCCATTAGAATAATGATTGTGAAAGCACCCACAGTGTTTTTGTTTACAAGTCCCAACTGTCAACAACATTTGTGGGAAATTGGCAGTCGCCATCGCTAACTTTTTAATGAAGTGCCATGCCAATTTTTTGTCTTTTTGGGAAGGTAAACAGTTCTTGTTCACTCTAGCGATATTTTGAAATAAATGTTGTATTTTGTGTGAAAGTTTTACCATTCCTTCCTGTGTCTTCCTTCCAGTGCTTTCCCGAGCTCTCCTCTACCTGAAGGTTTTCTCTCATTTGGGAGTTGGTTGGTGTGTGAGTATAGCTGGATGTATGATTAGGCCTGGCAGGTTAGTGATCTTAGCAAGCAGCAGGGAGAGGTATGACATTTATTTTTCAAACCCCCGACCCTGAGGATGAAAAATGCATGTCTCAAGCTTAGCCAAGGCGGTTTGGGTAATCATTTATGCCAGTGTCTCCAGTCCCATGTCTCGACCTTACTGGTCGGGTGTCTGACAGGTGATGCATGATGCCTCACTCTCCCCCTTCCCCCTCCCCTTGCTCTCGTCCCCATCGGCTCTTCCGCAACCCCCAACAGGACACTGTCAGTCTGTCCCTCCTTTGATAAGCACCTGTCAAGTTCAAACCTTGACCTGGAGTCAGCTCACTATCCTCAGCTGCCTTCCGCCTCCCTCCACAGTCCCTTAGGTCTTTTTTCACCTTACTTTCGACTTTTACGGCTCCCTCTAAATATTCTCCTAGTCTTCCTTCTCTTTATCTGCACCATCCATTTACAAAGACATACAGCTCTTTGTCCTATGCAAAGACATACGCCATAAATTACATGTAACGCAAACTGTAGCGTTATATCTAAATGTCCCTCCCATGAAAACAGACATGGCAGCTAACTATTTGATTGATGGAGTTTGGGGGGTATGCACACTGAGATCAGTCTTCCAGGATAAAAGTTTGAAAGTGAAAGGGTGATGCAAACAGTGTACAAGGCTTTAGCTGATTGGCAAGAATTAATTTCTCCATCCAGAATAATGAAAATTCAAAAGACGGAGGGAACAGCTGTGATTAGTGTCCTTGCATAACAGTCAGGAGTAGATACCTTTTTTGGAACTGGTATAAAGCAGGGGGGATTGATAGTGATCCTATCCAGATGGATTCAAATGAATGACGTGGTGGATTTGCCATCTCTACAGTCCTGCTTCAGCAGAGGAAGGAGATTTGGTTTGTGTTTGTGTTAAAGAGACTGTGACAGACCGCAGCATGCTTGCAAAGGGCTAACTTAAACCAAAATGTAAAGTACTGCAGTCTTGCACAGGTCATGGAAAAACAGGGAAGAGACCAAAGAGGCCGGAGTCAAATCAACAGGGAGAGAGGATGAGACAGAGAGAGAGACAGAGAGAAGGCAGAGAGAGAGAGAGAGCCCAGCTGGTGACTTTGGCATCTTCCTAAATTATAATGTACACCCAATTTACTCTCATTTGCTGTGAAATTAGCTGGGAAATTTGTTTAGATCTTTTCCCCGGAGAAAATGGGAAGAAGGGGCTGTTGGAGTGTGGGGGTTGGAAAGAGGTGTTAAATTACACCAATACACTCTGTATAATCTATAAAGACAATTTACATGTGACCACACACGAGATCATAATCTAAAGCGTTTCTCCTGGCAACATCGGTACACAGCAAAGTGTACTTAATAGATTACCTCTAAGTTTGAAAGGCCATAATGCAGTCACTGCTACTGTGAAGTTGACAGCAGGACTGAGGAAAGGCCTTCTGGTCATTTAAAGGTTGGTTTACATTTAAGATCCAGAGAGGCTTAGCGCAGAGAAAGAACACTGCAGGTGGACATAATGCTGTGTCAGGCATTTGGGCTCCAGCCAGCTGTTCTCTTTGGTGCCCCCCCTCCCGCCATCTCCACTGTTCTTTCCCACTCTCTTACTTTTTGTGTGTGTGTGTGTGTGTGTGTGTGTGTGTGTGTGTGTGTGTGTGTGTGTGTGTGTGTGTGCACCTGCATGTATGTGCTCATGAAACATACATAATGCACACACTTCTGATTACCCCAGAGGCTATTGCTCCCTATTAACCTTACCCTCCTTACTTAGAGTTCTCCTCTGGCTCATAAGCTTCGCACGGTAAGACTTTGAGAGATGGGGGATGCCAAAATATAGTACCCTTGTTGAACTTTGACCCCTAACTACTGACATGGAACCTATCCAAGAGGCTTTTTAGCCTGCTGTTAGTGCATATGGAGGTATTTCTGCCAGGCTTACACTTACAGTGCAGCTAGCCAGACTTCAATCAGACAATACTTTTCTGGGTCTAGAGACAGGCCATATGTAATAGAACTTATCTAATCACATCTAAATGATTTTGCACCAGAAAAAATGTAACTAATGACATGCTATTAAAATGTCAGAATTAGCCCAATTAGGATTCCCATTCTGTCTGATCTATTGAAATTCACTCAGTACCTGATTGTCTGCTGCATCTGTAGTCGGTCAGGATCTGAGGCTGAGAAAGTCGTCAGGCTGGTGCCAGCAGGGACACCTTCCTCGAAGCGGATGTGTTTCGGGTTTGTGGGAAAGTAAGGAGGTTCGTTGACATCCTGGACAGATATGGTGACCCCCGCTGTGGACTGGAGCGAGGACTGGATGCCACTGGCTAGGTGGGCCTGGTTCGATACCACAACCGTCAGCATGAAGGCACGGTTCATCTCAAAGTCTACAGGCTGGAGGAAGGAAGGAAGGGTGTAAATGACAGTGTGTGAGAAGAGGAAAAGTTCAACTGAGTTTGAGTCATTTTAACATTAGAAAATTGATAGCCTTCAGTCCTTCTCTTGATAAACAGCACAGGATAGTAGTAGTAGATAATGAAATCCAACATGAAGGATCAAATTATTGTGCTTTTTTATTAGAATTTCGTTTGGTACGTTTCAAATATTTTATATTTTATAAGATTGCACACATATGATAATGCAGCTACACGATGGATATACACAACATAACAATAACATGAACACCCTTAAGACCCACCACAACTTACAGCCTCAAAAGATTTCACAGAAGTGACTAACTACCTCTTTGACATAGTCTGAACAAGAATTCGACACTACATTACATTACAGCTATTTATTGCATTATTATCATTGTTCTGGACTATTGTCCTCCTATCATTTTATGTTACTCAGCAGGAAAAATAGATGTATCTTTAGTATTGTAAAAATAAATACATTCTTTACTTGGCACTACCGTCCTCATTATCGATTTACCATCAAGGAAAATTACAGCTTTACTTCTCTTGTATGGTCAATGACTATTACTACTATTAGTGGTATTATTATCAATATAACTTTTTAGGAGCAAATCATGTCAAGTATTCAAGCTTAAGGGGTGTGCTATAAATACCATGCTGATTATAGTGTTAAAATCCCTGTCAACATGTCTTTTCTGCCTATGGCAGGGGAGTATGCATTGGACCTTGTTAATGATATAGGACATGATAAATGAACAGATGTCGTGTCAAGTGGTCCCCTGATGAATTCGATGCATATTCTCTCTAAACAACAAACCAACACACAAACACACATACATCCTGAGAAAAGGCAGCAGGGCTTAGACTATTCATAGGGTGCTGTCATGGCTCTGTCTTTTGACTGAGTGAGTGTGCGTGTATGTGTGAATGTGTACTCTACAGGGGTTTTTTCTGGCTGAGCCTAAACCAGAGTGACAGTTCTCTGCTCTCCTAATGAAGACGACACGATCAGGTTCAAATGACAACAACAACAAGGAAGGAAATAAAAAAAGAGAACAAACACAGTGCTTGTAGGTACTGCTGGCACATTTCTAAATAGGCGAATGATGATTATCGCCACAAGGCTCATGTCTGTGGTGTTTGATGATGATGTTAATGATTTTGAGCACATCTGTATGTTGTATTGCCTGAGTGTTATGAGTAGACAGTGTGGCAGCGCAGCCCTGATATAAAAAAGCATTCTTAATCAGGCAGCTTGGTTGACAAGGGCACTGGAGTGGATGAGTTTGCGTGTGTGTTAGTTGGTGTTACAGCGTGCCTGTGTATGCGTGTGTACGTAGATATGAGTAAATGTAAGCACATGGGTGTGAATTCGTGTGTGACCCCAGGGTACACTGGGAACCCATTTAAAGGCAAACCACGCTCAAGGCTCTTTGATCTGCAGCCAGTGGTATTCAGAGCACAGGGAGGTCTGGAGTATAGCTGTAGGCTAACTAAAACACAGACACACACACACTCAGACACACACACCCTGAGGGAAGCCAGGGGGGGTGAGAGGTCAATAACATGGCTTCCATCTCTTGCCCATGAGCCATCACGTCTTACATCTCCTCTGTATCGCTTCACTCGTTCCTCTCTTTTACCTTTAACTAAATTTGTTCCGCCGGACTCCAACTTCCCACCCCCTCGTCTTCTAACCTCTGCCCCCACCCACAACCCATCACTGTCTGTGATCTGTGCTCTTTGTAGTCTGCATCTCTCAATCCCCAAAAATATGTCTCCACTTAACTTCTCTCCTCCTCTCCACTTCCCCTGTCATCTTCCGTGTTTATCATAAGCCGTAATTTACATATCTTAATGACTCATTCGAACCAAGAGGCTCTGTTTGTGTGTTTTTATGCGTGCTTGTTTGTTTACTGGCTCCATTACGGTGTGGCAAAATGAGAATGCGTCTCATAAACTCCCCAGAGAGCAGTGTAAATGTGTGACATGTTCTGGTTAAGACCTTAGCCCTTGTTTACAGAAGAGCCCAGGTCCCTTGTGGGAGATTGCCGCATACCTGGGTGTCAGCACGATTCGATGTGTCTATACCTGTGGCCGCAGACGCCCTGGTAAAAATAGGAACAACAAGGTATCTTTCTTATGGCTTCTTGACTTTATCGGAGTGAGCTGAAGCCCCTCTGTTTACTTGTTGAGACAGTGTATTTCTTGTTTCTTCCCAGGGGGTGTCCTGTCTCTTATTTTATGATTTCCTGATAACCTCCCATGGGTGTCTCCGTGGAAGCTTACGGCTACCCAGCTGCCTGCTGAATTTTACATCAGGGAGTGAGAGGAATGGATTATAAAAGGCAGTCATCTAGAGATAATGAAGAGAAGCAAAATGCCAATGCTCATTGCTCAGGGTGCTGTGGGAATTACACGGAGATGTTATTGCTATTTTTTAAACATTATTGTAGGATATGAGAAGTGATTTGCAGGAGCCAGATACACGAGGAGAAAACCCATGGGTCCTCAGGGTCAAGCAAATAAACAAGTTATTTCTACAAAACACATGCAACATGATAAGCACATTTAAAATGAGCCGCTCATGGATGAACACAGAAATACAAATGCTAAAGGTCATCCAACAGGAACAAATTTACACACACACACACACACACACACACACACACACACACACACACACACACACACACACTCGTATCATACAGATTATTTTTTTATGTTTAGCATTTTCTGTAGTTTTTCTCCAGACCTCTGAGAGGTTGAACACTAAAAAAGCAGGTTGTTACAAGACATGGCTTTGTTGTTGCTGTCATTTAAAACAGCAGCTAGAACATTATGAGTGTATAAAAACCGTCGCCTTTGTAATTGAGAAATCAATACCTAATTTGCTACAGTGGTCCAGGCAGCCATTGTGTTTAAGTCTGCGTGTGAGGGTGTGAGCTGTTTCTGAAGGGCGCAGCGGCCTCCAATCTCTCATTTGGACATACAGGGGCATATGAAAGGCATAGACCCCAGCCTGTCCCCATTTAACTCTATAGTCTATTATCATTGCTCATGCTTAAATCCATAGGGGATCTGATAGTCAGCACAGAAAAAGAGATGAAACTGTTTCTTTCACACTGACCTCTATAGGGCCAGAAGCGGGGCATGTTCGGAGCATGTAAGGCTGCTGTCTTACCTTCACCACAGTGACCATGCCGTCGTTGGTGACAGGGTCAGTGCGGATGGTGAAGTGCCCAGACGGGTCTCCGCTGATGATCCTGTAGATGGCGTTCCAGTTAGGCGAATGTGGTTGGTCAGCATCTATCACCGTCAGATTAGCCACCACAACATCCACTCGGTTCTCTGGTACCTCACCGGAAAACTGCAGAAAGTGGAGTAAAATGTTATACCTCTTGATCTGTTGCTTCAAAGTATCTTTATTTTGACTGGTATTCAGTGAGCTGTTTGACTGTGGCAATTTCTACAAAAGTGTTCCTATCTATTTTTTCCATTTTTCTTTTTAGAGTCAGTCCTCCTTTCAGGTTTTCAGGTAGAGTAAGTTTAATGATCTCACATTTAACACAGCTGAGTGGTAAACAAGCAATAAACACAGTTGCACACCAGCAAACACATTTGCACAGGGGTGTTGTTCCAGATTCAATGTTTTGTGTTTTTTTTTTCTGTATTCTGAGGGCCCATCCTTGATGAGCAATAATATTTCATTCCTTTGAAAGCCAGAGTGACAAAGGAAGAGAGAATAGATGAGCAGAAAGGAGCCAGCAGTGGGGAGGGTTAAAACAGCTGTTAGAGTGTATATGAGTGGCTTTTAGTTGTCCCTGTGCTGTACAAACACATGTGCTTTGTCCTGATAAGGCTGATGAGGAGTGAGTCGCTGTCTGTCATGTGTCTGTTATGGTGGGGATTGATCAAAGCTGTACAGGCTCAGGGGATAAAGTCAACAAAGACGAACTAACAACAGCAACAACTGCATCGCTACGATGAAAAAACACAAGTCGACCGAAGCCACACCTACACAAACAACCTATCAACTCTTAACCAATCAAGTGGGGTCAGAAGGTGAGCATGTTGGTGTGTCTTCCCCTCAACTGGAAGCAACAGGCGTGGCACCATACAGTCACCGTGTCACCATGAATAATAGGCGTGGAAGAGCCACTGAGCTGCTTATGTGAGCGTAGGATATCAAAGAGCAAAGCCCCAGACCAAACACTCCAACAGACCATAATACCCTGCCTGGCAACCCTCGCATCACCCAGCAAACAGCCGACAGCCGCGGGCAGATTAGGGGGCTGCGTCAGGAGAGCTGTTCAGAGACTCAATGACATTCTTAAGACAACAGACAAGTCCGGGTGGTCCTGATGCACTGCCTGCATTGGATAAGTAGGAAGGCTGTTGTATGTTTGTGTCAGAGTGTGTGTGTGTGTGTGTGTGTGTGTGTGTGTGTGTGTGTGTGTGTGTGTGTGTGTGTGTGTGTGTGTGTGTGTGCTGGAGTGGTTTATTACTGTGGTTTGGTTCAGGGACTCCCCAATGCCAATTCAATAAAATAAAACTTAAGAGATGGCTGTTGAGCTCCTCAGGGCCCTTGAGCATCTTCTTTCTTAGCACACAGTAACAACTGAGGGCAAGCGTTAACCAGAGCTGATGGAAGACTTTGAAGGGTCCACAACAGCTCTTATTATCAATACCCAAGTTTAAGATTTCTTGTCTCATTATCTCTTTATAGGGTGGGAGTGTGGGAGGGATTACATCAGACATCCAAAGCTTGAGTAATAAAAGAAAAGTTGTTTATTTTTATCATATAGGCATTCTTACATGGCATGGCAGTTTTTGAATTCCCTACACATAAAACTCTATCAGTACAATCACTTAGCAAATGGTTTAAAAAAAAAACCCAGTTAAACTTATAAGAGTGTAAATATCAACTTTACGAAGTCAACTATAGGAATTAAAGAACTTTACAGTAAGTAAGTTCCAATCATCACAGTTAAATGTCATGTTATTTTAGATTGCAATTGTGAAGTGTTCCCAATATGTTTGAACTAACTTGAGCAGCTTTGATCTCTTTGATACTGTATGAACTTCATTCAACACACCAAAAAATGCTGTGGAATGTAGTTGACATGAACATTTTCAAGGAGACAATAGCATTTCTGCGCTGAGTAATATTCAGGTTATATTTAAGAGTAAACTTTCAAATGAGAATTTAAAGAGAAAAACATTTTTTTTTTGCCCTAGAACTATCAGACCCTCCCAATTCTCCATTATATTCAGTTCAATTTAATGATTGTTCTATATTTATGACAGTGAGCTTTGATGTCTGGTAGCGTTGTTGTCAATAATGGATTGTGGTTCAAACTTTGTGATTTTTAAAACACAGCATTTCAATCTCTCTTGGAAAAACATTGAGGTTTTATGACCGTGGTGTCTTTTAGAGGCTCAGACTTTCTTTGATCAGGTAGTTTTTCTTTCTGTGATACTGCATCTTGTCCACAACTGCTGGACTAAAGGGAAGGAGGGGGAGCTCTTTGATTGTGATTGGCACAGAGTGCAGTTGGCTTTCTCACAGCACTTGACAAAACAACTCTTGCCCACACCCTCATCCTTCTGTCACTATTTTGGCAGCAGGGAAAGACTAAAGGAGGCAAGTGGAAGAGAGGAGAAGTGACAAGGAACTTCATCATAGGAACTTTGTGAGGATAGTAAAGGAAGGACGCCAAAGGAAGCACTGCAGTAAATCCTGCACAGACACACCCTTGATTGACTGTAGGTCTCTCTACACATAACTACAAAACAACCCATACCATGTGAGATACAGTTGTTGTTGCTGTACTGTATGCACAAACAAACAAAAGAGATGAGTAAATTTTTTAACTTTATCTCATCTATCTGCATCACAGTAATAATGCAGAGCATGCATACAGCCCTGAATAAGCACACAAAGCCTTCACATTCGTACACATGCACCACCCTCTGCCGCCCTGAAAAATAGGGCAGTTTCTGATAGGCATGATGAAATATTAATCATCAACATTAAAGACGAATTCCCCAAACTTTATAATTCTGGGACACGTTGAAAGATCTATGGGGTTTATTGCAAACACTAAATATTTGCATAATGGCCTGCATTCTCAACAAAATGGCTTTTATGTTATCCCACCACTAAAATGGGTGATTTATGAAGGGTGTGGGTAAAAGTGCTCCGCTCATCGGGGCTCCAAAACCTCCGATAAAGTTTATCATCAATATCCATGATAGTATTAACTTCCCTCTGTGGCGATGATGGAAATGCACTTAAACACGGTGGAATACAGTTAGAGAATATGAATCTATTACCGGCCACTATCATCAATATGCAGCCATCAGCAGACAATCTTAAATCAGAGGAGATGCCGAATCCGGAAAGGCCGCTGATTTACAACGGGGCATGTCTATGCTTTATCACTGCTGCTGTAGAAAATAGCTCCTGTGACCAAATAATCTCTCATTCTTTTCCCTCTCCCCATCATTCTCTCATCACTTTTTCCTCTCCTCATTTTTCGTCTTGGAGTCTACATGGTGGTCCACCCATCAACTCCTCTTCCCTCTTTGTTCTCTTTTTGCTCACCATCTCCTTTGTGTGTAATTTTTTTTTCTTCCTCTGCCCTCTCTTTGCACATATCCTGCTGTGTGTGATGTAGCAGCTCTCTGATGAGCTCTGTGGCTGACACATGCTTACCGCCAGCGCTAACTCATCATCACAGGGTCTTAATAGCCCCCAGGGCAAATGCTAATGCTAGCTCCTCTGCTACCACCTCAAAGACCCAGGACTACTGTACTTGCTGATAGCGCCTCAGCCGCTATCCCTACAGTTGCAGAGCTAAGCACCTTATCTACCCAACAGGCCAGTTACTCTCACCACTACTGATATGAAAGCACACATACTGAATAATTCTGACACCTGAAGCCATACTGACATCTAGAAAGATTTTTTAATCATAACATGAAATTAGAATGCAGACACGCTGACTTCACTGCTGACAGTCTTCACTTCTCTAAACAAATGCATGTCCCTGCCACATCAACTAAAACTTTTGACTCTAGAGAATTTCATTTAAAAAAAGCAAATAAGAGCTCAGAATTTGTTTCCACTTTCCAGCCATCAGTGAAAAATACTGCTGCCACCTCAGCTGTTCCACCCGCACATCTAAACATTTAGCAGCGGCGAGAGAAATGACCTAGAGTCAGGATGAAGTCAGGAGAGAGTGGAATAAACGGAAGTAAACATTTTAACAACGCTAAATCTTCCGCTTCAGTAATTAATTTAGTGATGACGTTGCTGAATTGCACCACATTGATACATTACATACAGTACATTAGTCTGGGCTTTTAATTTTTACCTCGCTCTCAACAATGACCTTCTGTAATGTAATCATCATTCTAAATATCACTATCATGACAACAATCATTAACGATTTGCTGGCCCTAGTTTTCTTGCTGATGAAAGTCAATGATATGGATTAGTTTTTCCTCGTGTTTGTGTGTGTGTGTTTGTGTGTGTGTGTGTGTGTGTGTGTGTGTGTGTGTGCATCCTGTACAAGGAAATGAGTAAGTACCCTTTGCACTTCATATCCCTCCCTCACTGTCCTTGTGTAAATCTTCCTGTGTAACGACATAACATTTCCTTTCTTCTTTCCTCAGTTCATCCCTTCCTCTCTTTTCATTCTCCCTTTCACTCTTCCCTCTCTTCCCCCATGTATGTCTCTCTCTGGCCTTTTTTCTTTCTTTTACTCATCATTTCCACCCTCTTCTTTGAAACCCAAACCTTCTCCTCCTCCGAATTGTTACCCTTTCCCCACTCCCTTATTTGTTGCAACTCACAGTTCTGGAGGTCAGCATGGGAGGGTTGTCGTTGATGTCCGTGACAGTGATGATGGCAGTGGCTGTGTTGGAAAGGCCAAAGTTCAGGTTGCCCTCCATATCCGTGGCCTGCACGATGATGGTATACTGGGACACTTTCTGTAAAAGGCAGAAACAAAAGAAAATCAGAGCGTGCAGTTATTCATCTGCAAAGAGCTTTCTCTTCCTCGAGTCTACAGCAACAGCCACAGACTGTGAATCCCTGAGGAACAAAAAGCTGAGCCTGTGTTCTGTTCTATAGTAGCTGTCCATGGTCTTATTTGAAACACAGATTCACAAGGGTGAAGTCTTTCATTCGACTGAGTTGAAACCTCCCCAGCGGAACGTATCCAGACTTCACACCATCTGAAGGCTGCACTGTGAAGCCTCCCCATGGGTATGTCATCAAAGACACTGCTTATTCAGTGCCACTGATGGACAGATGTGAAGACAATGATCCAACTGACAGAGATTAATCGACTATCTATGGAGCAATAATATGAGGGAATGATAAATGCCATTTCATCTTTTGAAATGACATAGTATCACTTCACTGGAAGCTGAAAAATGGTTCTCTTATTGGTATTTTTGTACTTGGATGCATTTGTGTGCTCTTAGCCGTGCAGCACTAGTCCCATTCTCCTTTCCTCCCTCTCTTCGCCAGCATCCTCTGTCTCTTCTTCAGTCCCAGGGTGCAGTTAATGGGCTGCAGGAAGGATGGAGCCCCGGAGCCGACTGTCTGGATAATGTGTCTCGTCACTGAGATTCCCAATTACATTCCCAGTGTCTCTCTCACCTGCTAATTACCGAGTAAATATCCCAATTAGGCCAGGACGCCACATCAGGAGGATTAGACAGCTCCTCTCAGTTCCTCTCATAGTGATGCTAGACGAGATGCTGAACTCCAACCTTGTACACACACTCTCATTAACACCAGTACACACAAACACACATAAACATACACACACACACACACACACACACACACACACACACACAGACAGACACACACACACACACACACACACACATACACCTCTCTTCCTCCATATCTTGTCTAGAGGCAGTGCTTCCCTTACTGTCCCATCAGCCAGTGTACGGCATGTACACAACACTCCCACTAATTAGACAAGGGAGTAATTATGTAGAGCTCCTCTGAACCTCTCAGCATTGCAACAACACCGCAGCAAGCCCAGCTTCCTCTAAAGGACTGAGGTCTGTTACTGTCAACAAGCTCTTAAAAGTCCACTGCAGACCAGCTGAAACCTTTAGAAGAGAATCAGTGTGGGAGTTTATAAAGTAGAGGAAGAAGACATTTCAAACGTAAAGAACAGAAGAGAGGATAAGAGACAGCAGGGGATGCAGCTGAGGCACAAGGGATGAGGACTACCAAAAATAGATGCCTGTATTTTTTTCATTTTTTTTTCTCGTAGCACCTAACACCTCCAACACCCCAGCCCAAGAAGGGAAGGGAGATGCAGAAACTTTCAAAGTTTCAAAGGACTAAAGTGCTGACTAAAAATGGACCAGGGAAGCACCGTAGTGTGCTGTGTAGCATCTTCCTGTGAAGTTTATGTACAGTACATAAACTCCAAGACATTTTATTTCCTGCAAGGTTTGAGATTTCTTATCTCCTCTCAGATAACAAAAACAGAAGTATGTATTTGTATCATACAGAAAGTACAGAGTGTAAGCTGTCATGAATATATTAAATGTATGAACAAATATGTGTGGGAGATCATAGTGTAGTGCATGTTCTTGTACATCTGTCTTTGTGAGTTTTATATGATGTCCTCACTTCAGTTATGTTTGGGTGTTAAGACTTGGTTTGTAAAGTTACCTTATATGAGTGCCCCATTGTATTCTCAAAATTTGCATTCATCAAAAATATTTTTTTTGCATATCCTTCCTCATAAAACACAGACAATTTAGACAAAGTATTTTAAATCCAGCATTTTTTATGTCCATGTGTACTTGCTGTCTTCTTCCCTGCCTTCACTGCCGTAGCACGTCTTACCGCCACTTGTTGATTAGTAGAATAGTGTGAAACCATTGGCAGGAGTGTGTATCACATCACCCACATGCAGGTACATGTGCAAGATAAACAAAAAAGGAACCCACTCATGAAAAAGAAAATGCTTCATAGTGCAACAAGGGGTCAAAAACAACAGCAAACTGTTGCTTATTAACTCATACAGCAGTTATGTCTCTGGCAACCTGACAAATATAAGTCCAATGTTCACTCTCTGTCTATCTCTTTAGCTGCTAAATGCTCATTATGTTGCTACCCGTGTCTGTTTGCTGCTTGGTGCTGAGCAGGTACATTCAGAACTTTTTCACTGAAAACAGCCGCCTGCTGTGGCCAAAAATGAAACGCTAAGAGAATCTAACCAACTGTCTAAAACCCAGAGATATTCCATTTACAATGATATACTGTAAAACAGAGAAAATCATATTATTCTCATATTTCATATAATTTTTTTTGGTTGATTAACAATTAATCAACTAATTGTTTCAAAACTAAGAAACCCTGATAATGACTGCCAGTAAATTGGGTCATTATTTAGTTGGTAGCTAGGCCTTTAATCACCAATGGAGCTGCTCAATGGCCAATGAGGTTATACTGTGCATATTACAGGTGTGAGTGTGTATAACGCAGTGACTGTGAGCTGGGTACTCCTGAAAAAGAGCTGTCAATGACACTACAACTGGATCATTTTAGGTAGAAATGTAAGGGGCTGAGGGATGAATTTTGTCTGCATGGGCCTTCACAAGTATATTAGTACAAACAATGCTTGTGTGTGTGTATAGTGGGGGTAGGAGTTTAATCCTACATCAGGGGCGAGTGGCTGGATTAGCAGTATACAGAAAACACAGGGAGAATAAGAAACATAGGTTCAGCTAAGACATTTCTACTCCATGTTTCCCTCATACCCCTCTCTCTCTCCCTCTGGCACCCTCATGTCTCATCCTGCGACTCTCTCTCCATCACCCTATCTTCATTGCCAAATTCACACTCACTTCCTCCCAACTCATTGTAATACCCCGTCTGCCCCGCTCTGTTTTTGTTCTACTGCTCCCTTCAGTTTTCTTTTTTCCCCCTCAATTGCCTGTGTTTTATCGAGTGTAGATGTGATTATATGGGCCTTTGTGTTTGTCTGACAGGTGTCAAGGGCATTGTATCTCAGATTTTTCCACTCTATCTTTACTACACAAACACAAACACATACACACACTCACACACAACACAACTTGAGCAGCTCATTGCAGCGTGATGTGTTGTTAATAGGTCTGTCACTGGTGACAGTTTGGGAGGATGATCTGTCTCGGAGATTTCTTTGCAGAGTTGTCACTGGCACATCCATGTCGCGAGAATAAACACATTTGGATCTTGTCACAACTTTTATAGCTCCATAAACAAGGTGACCGCAGAAGAAGGCAATTTACTGTAAAAAAAAAAAAAGATGTGCTGGTGTGTGTGGTGACAAATGGCTAGAAAGTGTCATCAGAGTAAACAATGCTGTTAGCAACTGTGCTCCATAAACAAAAACAAAGGTGAATCATTTGGGTAGCCATAGTTCATTCAGACTGTATGGACACAACAAAAGATTTTATTAACTAAAAGCATTATTATTTGTGCTGATGGTTTTGCTTAATTTTGCACGATTTTGTTGCTGCCTTTTGTGAATGCTTTGGGATAGGTAAAACCAACCTCACGATCGAGACCGGGTGCCACGGTCACAATGTCTCCAGTCTCACTGTTGATGGTGAACATGTTAGGGATGGGGCTGTGCGGTGTCTGGGACAGGATACGATAGCGAACCATTCCGTTGGCTGTGGTGTTGTCGTCAGCATCGAACGCTGACAGGTGCATCACATACGTCCCTGATGAAGGAAAGAATATTTGTCAACACTTGAGTCCAAACCGCCAAGCAGAAAATGAAAAGTAAAAGTTCAATTTCCATTTAAATAAGTTTGAACAGATTTATTTCAGCCTTCACTTCTGTTAAAGCAACACTAAGTAAATTTTGAAAGATAAAATAACACAATCTTTTTATTTTCTTTGAATCTTTTAGAAAAGAAAGCACTAAAACACACCCTTACTCAATTCAATATATTTAGGGGTTTTGATGTTGCAACCTGGTATGACCAGAAGCTTATTGTGGGAAATGTTAGCTAACACTGTTGTGTAACTGACATTACTATCTTTACTGGTGCGACCAGTACACTGTGTTGTCACTGATAAAAATGTATATTGGTTTTATCACATAAATGTAAAAAAAGCAACTGAAACAGCAATTGCCTTTCGTGGCCATAGTAACCGCTGTTAAGCAAAACTTAATTGTTCCAACTTTTTAAAATAAATGACTCACTTTGTAACCTTGATCATTTTGTACTATTGCATCGTTTAGCATTGGATAGTTTAAAGTAAGACAAAAAGAGGCAGAAGCTGCTCTGTAGGCAATGACCTGATATTATATGTGCACCTAAAATATGGCTATTAAACCACTTGGATTTTACCATAGCAGTTTGATAACACTAACAATAAAGTGAATAGATCTTTATAGATTTATGCTTTACAGATTTATGATACCTGTTCTGTAAATAATACTCCATCAGCTACAAGCACAGATACAGTATACAGTATGTGCAGATATTGTGCAGAATTGTGGTCAGTTTTTATGACCACATAACTCACATCTTATTTTGCATTTACTGGGTACATTGAAAAGGCTGCAAATGTATAATAACGTGTACCATTTATTTATTACCTGACCAAAATGGAAGGCCCTTGAATGCACTACTAGATTTTGACAACAGATATTGCTAAACTTTAATCATATCATTCTGATTACATAAAAACAAGGTAATACATCATCTAGATGTTTGATAACCCTTGCTTAAGTTGATCTAATATTGTTAAGGATCTCTTCTGTAAATAATCTCTCCAACTACAAGCACAACTAAGCACAGACATACAGCCTATTATATGCAGAGAATAAGCCACTATCCTTCCATGAATGCATCACTTGTTTGCTGCCTCAACACACTCATATAACTCTGTGGGATCACTGCCTGTCACCCAATCTCTCCATCTCTCTCCCTCTTGCTCTCCCTCTCTTGCAGCCGATTCTAATTGCCAGAGATAGTGATATCATGCCAGTGACAGCCCCTGTCCGAGGATAATTGTAACCGCAGCTCCCATTTCAAACTTCATTACATTTCAAAGCAACATTTGTCAATGACTCGGCCAGAGGGAGCACTCTAAAGGCCTCTCAGCGAGACAAGAAAAAAAAAGCCGGCAGGAACAGAGGGAGAGGAAAAGAGAGAAATAGAGGACAGACTCCATATTTGGTTTGATTCCAAGTGAAGTGACTATCAGTCCTCCACCCATCACTTTTTTCTAAAGATGGAGGGATAGAGAGTAGGAGATGAAGAATCACAATGTGTCACACATCGCCAGGGTAATTTCATTAAGCTGCACTCTTAGGGGGTTTAATGTGGACCCTTTGTACGGGCGTCCTAAGCTGTGCCTGACAGGATTAGGTCCCCATAATGACTCTTTAATTTGCAAACTAATTCAAGTCTGTAATTGGCCTTCCATTGAAACCACTGGAGCTCTAAATTCTAAAACTCTCTTTTTTTATGATTATTGTTCATCTGAATGTCATGCATGCCACAGAGACTTGTCTGCTGTGTGGGGCAAGGCTGAGGGGGAGGAGACAACGGCAGAGAAAAAAGAAAGAAGAGGAAAGGAAATGAGCACCTGGACACCTCTTGAGATCACCTCTGGTGCAATAAACTCTGGCTCATCAGGCTCACACTCACACACACGCATGCACACAGAGAGCTCATCTCCGTGATTCTTCCGCTCTGAGGTTAGACATAAAATGACCCAGTGGTGCTACAGCGTGGTACATTTAATCCTCAATCTCCTCTCCAGCCTGAGCACCCTCTTTGGTTTATGGCCACTGCTGTAGCCGGCTAAATGAAAAGCCACTGTGGGAGACAGATTCTCTGTCTGTCTGCTAAATCAAGGGGAATGGAAAATTCTCTGTTGCGTCCAAGATTCACTGGTGTAGTCATACTGTTAACGACACCAATACTCCTGATATACTAGTCGCTCTTCCTCCGTCCACACACATCCAAACCCCTCACCAATCCACACATTTCTTTGATCTTTCTTAATAAATGCTCCTGTAATTGCTCCTGGTTCACACTTTACTTCTTGTTTCTTCCATCGATTCATCCATCCATTCATGTTTCATTACCTGGTTTAGAGCCTTCATCCACAGAGCCATTGTAGACCTGGTTTTTGAACTCGGGCCTGTTGTCATTCATGTCAATGACGAAGATGTACAGATCGATGGGGTTCTCAACCTGGTTCCCGTTCATGTCCACGGCATGGGCTCGCAACTGGGAGACACAAAACAGGTTACAGGTTACATTACGGGAAAAGCCAGTAATTAACTGATAAATCTTTAATGTAAAAATAATAATAATAATCCCACTGTGTAGGATTTAGTGGCATCTAGCGATAAAGTTGCTAGATGTCTCCAAACAATCTAGCATCTGTCCAGCTGCCAAAGTCCAGACGCTGCTAAAAACGTTAAGAAGCTGAAGCCGATAAAAACAAATTCAATTGTTACTATGATCTCACAGAAATAAGACTAAGGAGCAGTGGCAAGTGCATTTTTTAAAACTTTTTTCAAGCCTGACCTTAAATTCTGGAGACAAAATGCTTCGGCCACTTCTGGTTGTGTTTTGTGGATAACATATAATTAAATCTATATTTGGATTAACAGGTGAAAAGTGTGTAATGTTATTATTCTAATAAAAGCTAAGACATCAAAGGACCTCACTGTTGAGACATCATTGAATCATGTGTACTAAAACTATATCTTAGACTAAACCAAGAAACTAATTTTGTTGCATCAGATTATCGAATCTGATGAAGCAACGCGTGAAACACAAAGTTCATTCCTTTTTATTTTTAATGTAATATTTCAATAAAGTAGTGTTTTTTGGTTTACTGTGGTTTCCTCTGCACCAGCTAGGACCCAGGAGAGAATCTGTGCAGGGGGTATCTTCAGCTTTTTATTTCAGATTACTTTAGTCTAGTCTAGTTCAGTTTAAAGTCTCTGCATCCTGTATTTATTCAAAATGTTATATTTTCGGTTTGTGGTTAGAAACACTCAAAACCTTTGGTCTACATTAACTGCTGTTAAGTTGCCTATACACAATAGTTTAATAGTTCGCATATTTGAGTACCACTTCTTTATATCACTCCTGGTATAGACGCCTCTCAGTGCATTCCCAACTGTCTGCGCTCAGGTGTGGACAAAATAAAGGAAGACACACACAACATAAATAAAACACTAACAAACTGAAAGAAGTCTGTTTTTTTACCCTTCAAGGTGACTACTTTCACAGCAACTCTAAGCAGAAATACACCTCTGCACTCTTTTTTGAAGTTGGCATACAGCCCTGCTTGTGAATACACAGGCTGATAAAATCTGCATTATTGAATTATACAGTATAAAAGTTTCAAAAAGATCTCCTAAACCTACACGACAATATTAAGTAGGGTCAGACGTGAAATTCAGGATATTTTTCTTGCGGAGTAATTGCCTTAGCGTACTTTCTCAAGACTTCTTATCTCTTTTACATTTAGTCCCCAGAAGTTTTTATCTCAGCAGAAACCAAAACAAGAAACATCTTATTTTATTGGCTCTGTTGTAAAAGGCAAGGTGTCTGTTTCAGGATCACTGTGTTGGATCCCAGGCCAACACTCTGTCTGGTTTTGTTTGAAAGACAGTCTTGAAAATCTCTTCACTTCCCTCTGACTCCACAAACACAGTCAGCCCATCTCAAATTCAACTCAGCTGTACTCGGATCAATGGAATCACCAACGAGAATTTCTCACAAAGTTTGGACATGCTGTAAAATGTGTCCTGACTGTTTTTTCTTTTATGAAGTCTGTAGGAAAAAAAAAAGAAACAGAATAAATGAGAGGAGAGCGAGGAAAATAATCATGAAAATGTTGAGTTTGAATAAACGCTTGTGGTTTGTTTTTTCACTCCATACGTGAAGGTCAAACTAACAGACTCAAGTGGCATTTCAAAATGAATTCCTCGGTTCTCTGTAAAGCTGTTTTGATTCACTTCACCTTACCTGGGAATGTTTATATCCCTGAACATGACTTATTCAGTGATATTCCTGTCAGCTGGAAGCACTGGAGATGTTTAGTTTATATCATACAAAGGAAAAAAAAAATCCGATACTATCTACACCCTGCTTCTAACAACATAGGGCTGGTAAATATTTATTCTGTTAAAATGTCAGCAATCAATTTCAGGCAAAAGACCCTCCACCTTATTTCATGTTAGTGATATTCATCTTAAGGAAAGAAAAAGTGACAGAATTGGAAAGAGCTGGGGGGGAAATGAAAACATGTAAGGAACAGATGGGGAAGAAAGATGAAAAATTGTAACATGAGCAGATTATTTTCTCTGTCATGTATGGAAAATTGAGGGAATGGTAGTCTTTCCATCTGAGAATGGCTGATGGGAAAAAATGCTACCTGGCCACTGCAAAAACATGAGAGCCAGATAAGTGAAATAGCCTCTAGGCTTGTTGCGTCAGGAAATAGAGTAAGTTGCATTCTCCATCGGCTTCTTCTCCTCACAGAGGTGAAGATCCTCTCCACTGCTGCCCATCCTCTCCTCTCCACCGTCTCTTTCCACTCTGCACCTCCACCAAAATTGTGTCCTCAGGTCTCCCTGAGGTTAATTTGACTTTACTTTTTCCTCTGCATTGTCTGATCTGTCCTGCACCCAATATCCGTGCGCTGCCATCACACATCGCATCTCGCTGTGCTGTAAGAGGCTAGGAGCCAGGCCCCTTATCTCTGCCCACCCTCATCCCTCCATCCCGCAGGCACCAACACCCTAATTCAATAACAGCAGGAGTCAGAGATTACCGCCATGTTTAAAGAAGGCAAAATGTAATTCTGGGTCCACATTAAAGTTATTATCTTGAAAGGCAGGGGGGAGAAAACAGACTGAACCAGGCAGCGCTCGGCATTTGGCAAAGAGGCAGCATCCTGATAGAGATAACAGCAGACCCAGAAGCTCCAAGGTTTTTTTCCTCATAAGAATGCATGTTGTTGCATGGCTGGTTTTGAATTTGCTCATTCTTTTGAAATAAAAAGAAGTAGACCGTAACTTTGTTCTGTCCTTGCATGAAATATAAAGTAAACAAAAGAAAGAACACAAAGTCATATTCTAACTTTGTGTGTTGTTGCTTTCCAGGATATTGTTGCTCAGCAAATAAAATCTTCCCTATCTTTAAAGCTTTTGGATTGAGGATGTTTATTATACAACACAGTTTAATTGCTTTCCTGTTGATCTAACAGCATCTAGTGTGAAAGGCCTTTAATTGAACTGCAACACCTTTCTTCATCTGTTTACACGTACATCTTTACCTTGTCTCATCCAGTTGCTTCCTGCACTTTGTAGTCCACACCAACTAACACTTTTTCTCTACAACAAACACAGAGTTTAACTTAAACAGCCTTTAGCAAGCCTCCGACTTTCTTAACAAATCACTTCATTGATTGGAGTTTCTCCTGGGTATAAATCTGCCCAGCTCCCACTAAAAGGTTGGGCTTGGCAGCTCACCGGGACTGTAAGTCAGGCTAGATTCCCATATAAATACAAGGATAGCGGCAGGTACAGAGACAGAGAAAACAAGAGACAAAAACATAAAGTGATGAATCCAATGTTGTTGCTCAATAAATCAAAGCCTCCTGGCTCTTTCTTCATGGGGGCAGAAAGACTAACTTAAGCAACATTATGACAAGTTAGTACTTTTCTTGTTTTTAATGTACTTTGCCTGACATTTTCATGCCAGCATGCACAGCACGAAGGTGAGCCGAGAGGGCACATTTACAGTAATAAAAGGAATATTTTAACATTTTGGGAAGTAAGCTTATTTGCTCTCTTTCTGAGAATGAGATGAAAAGATCAATACGCTCATGACTGTATGCTAAATATAAAGCTAGAGCCGGGAGATGATTAGCTCAGGTTTGCATAAAGATTGGAAGCAGGGGAGAACAGCTAACCTGGCTCTGTTCAAAGGTTAAATAATCTGCATATCAGCACCTCTCAATTTGAGACAAGACAAATCTCATGAGATATAGTGTGTTAATTAGTAAGATTTTGAGGTGCTGGTCCAGAATTTTTTAACTTTGGACGAAGCCAGGCTAGCTATTGCCCCCTGCAACCAGTCTTTATGCTAAGCTAAGCTAGCATCTGTAGCGTGTAGCTTCATATTTAGCGTACAGACTTGTCAGATGACTACTATCTATCTTCTCATCTAACTTTTGGTAAGAAAGAAAATAAGCACATTTCCCAAAATGTCACATGAGAGTGATATTGATCTTTTCATCTCACTCTCAGGGAGAGGGCAAAATATGTTCCCATCTTCGGTAAGTCTTTTTATCATGTGCCACTGTTGCAGAGCAGTGGAAAAGCTATGAAAAAAAATAAATAATGTGACTGTCTGAGAGCTTAATGATTAATTATCACATTCTCTGACTTATGGTTCACTTCATCCACTTAAGTTTTGCACACAGCGCTGTCGCATCTATACAAGTGAAAAGGTGCAAATTGGACATTCTGTCATTCCATGATCATTATGCACTAAAATTTGTATTATTCTTCGCAGTGATAAGTACAAGGACACAGACACACACACACACACACACACACACACACACACACACACACACACACACACACACACTCACACACTCACACACACTACTCTTCTGGAAAATGTTGCCATGTTAAAGTGTGTCCATGCTTAATGTAATAATGCAATGCAATATTGTTTGTTAAGAGTATTGAATAGACTTAATTACATTTCTAAAGCTGATTTGCTTTTTCATAATTTGTTAAACAATATATGCCAAATAAATAATGAAAGAATAAATCAAATCTAAAACAACTGTCTAATATCATATGCACATATTATATTGGGAAGTTCAATAGTAAATAAAAAAGCAGAAAAACAGAGATATATAGAGATATATATATTTATATATATAAACTTTATTTCTTCTTTAAGTGCTTTACATTTGTCACTTTTCAAATGTCGTAGCTCTTCTTGTGTGTATGTGTGTGTGTGTGCGAGAGAGAGAAAGACACACACTCACATGGTAAGAAGAGCGATGCTCTCTATCAAGAGGTTTGGTGACGAACATCTTTCCAAGCACAGGGTCGATATTGAACACCTCATTGGGTGGTTGATCTGCTCCCACCCCAGTGATGCTGTATCGGATCGAGATGTCCTGGTCCTGGTCTGAACGAATCTGCATCACAACAAACAAAGAGGAACACTCAATCAATCAGGTAAATCAAAGTGTTTATTAAAGTCTCATTTTGTGTGTCACAGAGGCCACATGACCTTTTCTGTCTCTATCCCTCTCTTGCACTGAGGAAATTTGGTGCAACATGTGCTGTGGGGTGTTTATTATTCAAGGACCAGTTTGTGATATACAGCCCTGGATTTTAATAATTTTGTCCTTACACAATCTTAGAAACCTGATATTGCATATTATTCACTGGAAAACATGTTCATACACACAAAGACACACATACACACACACACACACACACACACACACACACACACACACACACACACACACACACACACACACACACACACATTTTCATCACAGTTTGGCATTTCTAGCTACCACATATTCAAGGATTCTATTAGTGCTGCCACAGGGAGCGCTATGCATTCTGTTTGGCAGAATTGGACAGCTTCAAAAGAGAAATTTTAATTCAATATTTCAGGGAGGGAGAAATGAAATCAACATATATTCACTGTTAACTTTGACAGTCAGGTCGTGATTTATTAAGATTGGCTGGAGCCAAGCTGGGATTACAGACAGGTTGTGGACAAAAATGACAATTAGATAAAAAAGTGAAAATATGAGGTTGTAACTGTTGTGTAATTAGGAAACCAACAACAGGGAACACAACAATAAACAAATTTTGAGGAGGCAAAAATAGGCCTGAGGAAAATAACAATCTTAAATCCAGGGGTGCACACAAGAAGAGAATTATTTAATAACTGTGGGATATGTGAGGCAGAATGTTCTTTAAGAAATAGGCCTGCATTTTGGTTTAGCTTTCCTTGCCAGATACACAGTTAATAGGTGCATTAAGTGCACTGCTAGGTCTGTGATTTGGACTGAAGTGCTGTGTAATTGGGACTCATTTGGAGGAGTTTTTCAATTTAGTGCCCAAATAGAGTCCAAACCTCCAAGCATCCCATCTCTGTCTATTAACTACATGACAACCCATGAACATCAGCTGGTGTATCAAAATGACTCAATCATATACTTACTGCAGTATGCGGGCACATGCTGTACACAAGTACACAAACGTACAAGCACACACACAGAGGAATGGTTAGCTTTTTTCTTCTAATCAATGACTATTTCAGTGGAGAGCCTGAGTGCACCAGATGAGTAAGACTGTCCAAAGTTCTCTCCATCTTTCACCACTTGAGGAACCAATTTAGCCACACTTTTGACACACCGGGAATTCTGCCCTGCTGAGAAAATAGCTGGAACAACTAACAAGGACAAGGGACGGACATACAGTATTAGACAGGTGTCATCCTGACTCTACCTGCTGGTGGAATGAAAACCTGTCACCATCACTGACACTTACTTCTCTTCCTCTTCATCAGCATCAACATTATCCTCAACTCTCTATTAGAAAGATCCAGTCTAGTCACACAAATGTGATCAGTTATGGACACCTTGCCTGTAAGAATGCAAGTGGAGCTGTCACAACTTCCCACTGATGCTATTTGTGCATGTCTGCATGTGTGTTTACTTTGGGGACTAGAGGAAGGAGAACGTCAGAATGCTCTGCACATATCTCTGCAAATTACTGCTGACAGCTATGATAATTAACGAGCTACAGGAATCGACTGCTATAACTTCAAAGAAGCTCTGCCCGTTAAACACCAACAAACTAACAAATATCCAGCTAGCAACTCTGTTGAACTCTCAATGTAGCACCATTACCCTCCTCTATAGGCAAAGCAAAGAGACTGCAGCACACTGACTCCATCTACCTCTCCTGTCGCATTAGAAAATACAAGCAATTATTACACATCCGACTGCCAAACTATCCCCCCCCTTCCATTCATCCCCCTTTTCTCCTCCCCTCTCCTTGTCTCTCCTTTCCTCTGCCCTCCCTTCTCCTTTCCAGCTCCTTCTCTCTCATCTCCACTCCTCCCCTTTCCTCTCATCTCTCCCCTCCGCTTTCTCTCATCACTCTCTCTCTCTTTCTTTGCTTCAGGTCTCCGTGGGGACAGAAGCCATGCATGAAAAATGAAATTACTTCAATCCGTTGGCCTTGGCAGTGGCATATAAATCCTCACCAGTTAGGAAGTGATAGCTCTCCATAATTCCATTTGGGTTTTCCCCGCCCCCCTGATTTCCCACCCGTCTCCAAGTCGTCCTGCTTGGGGTGAGGGGTGGGGGGGTGGATTCAGCTGCATGTTTCCACAGTCATTCCAGCCAATTAGCTCTCCCTCCCACAACGTTCACGTAAACGATTTTAAAACTATTGTGGGATGGTGCCTGAAATCCTTTTCCTCATCAGTTTCTACCAAATATTTGTACATGGTTGCATGAGCATTGAGCATACATATGGGCATTCAAAGCTCTGGCTCATGATTTAATAATGTATGAAATAAGACATGCATGCATTACACATGCATATATACATGGTTATGCATTAAGGGGTCCAATAATGGATGTCAAGGAACTGATTCAGCTCGCTGTTGTTGCATGTTATCATTCTCCTTCTTTTATCACAGAATATTGTGACGGGCAGGATGTCATTTCAATAGTGAGCAGCTCTCACTGTCATTCTGCCATTTTAGCTTCAGAGAGGGAGAGAATGTGCTGAAAAAAGCCCAGCATGAGATGAACACGAACAGCTTCTCATACTGCATAAGTACTTTTTTTTTCCTTTAATGAAAAGAGGGAAACGCACTCCCTCTCTTGCTACACTGCTATCTTGAACGACACACAATAACACACAGTAACACGCAGTCACATACACATAAAATGTCTCCAGGGCGAGGAAAAGGAATTCATTTTCAAGAGCGCCAATAAAAATCAAAAACTTTTTTTTTCTTTCTTTGTGTTTTCTTTCATTCCTTCTGATTTTTCCTGTGTTTTCTTGATAGTTTGTGTGTCTATAGGGTAGAGGGAGTGGGGACAAGAAGCACTCAGCTAAGAGAGTTGAGACAATTAAATGAATTATTAATCAATCAAAAGACCTATATGTAGAACATTGGATGAAGGCAACAAAAACCCAAGGTAGACTAAGTTGTTATTTGACCCTAAACAGAGAATATAAAATGGCTGAATATCTCCATTGTGTTGATCCTGACCAAATACAGGCTCAGTGACCACCAACTAGCCAGAGACACTGAAAGACACAGACAGACAAGGGTGCCTAGAGAGGAGCGTGTGTGTGATCATTGTTCAACAGGAGAAATAGAAACACAGATACCCTTCCTCCTCCATTGTGAGAAGTTCTCTTCACTGAGAGATTTCCACCAAAAGGAGTAGTTCACCGACCACAGCTCCTGTAGTAGCTGAATATGTATCTGCCTGCTACATGCCTGCAGGGCTCATAACCACTAATAATATGATATTGAGTAGTTGTACTAAATTATATATATTGTACATTAATGTATTGTATTGAAAAAGTATTGTAATGTATTTAATATGTAACATGGAAATCTGTGATTATTGTTAATTGCTTTTGCAACAACATGTTTTTGTTAATGCAAATAAAGCTCTTTGAATTTGAATTTTTGAGAGACAGAGAGAGAGAGAGAGAGAGAGAGAGAGAGAGAGAGAGAGAGGCATGACTGTATCATCCAGCATCAGAAACCAGACACTGTCTAAATGACCTATTTGTCGACGGATCAAAGCAATTCCCTTCATTACTGACAACTTGTCTGGTTCTTAAGGAGATCTTATCAGTGAGCTTAGCTCCCTTCTGCCAGGCAAAACTGAATCAAATGAGAAATTATCATGCTACCGGGTCTTCGGGGAAAACAGAGAAGAGGAGATGAAGAGAGGGGAATGAATAACACAGAAGCGCCGTTCTGCCACAGTTACTGGGGTGCAGAGGAATTAATTCTCGCTTAAAAATTCATGTTAACTAACACTTTAAAAAGTATCCAACTACTACCACTTAGATGTGTGACTGCACTGAATGTTGTAGATACACACCACTGCATATTTTCAGAATATGATGATGTACTGTATATTCAAATGAAATGCATCCAAAATGCAAGTATTGATTAGATGATCTACACTGTGTGCTGGCAGGGTAACATTAGTGTCAGATATGTACAAAGATATTAGTTGTATAAAAGACACAATACAACTAGTGCTGTCAAGTGTAATGAAATATAAAAGAAGTAGATGCTTCTAATCTTTAATAAATCCCCGAAAACATACATTGGGGTAGAGTCCTAAGAGTCAATACAAATTTAAGGCAGTCGTAATATAATCAATATTTATATATTAACAATGGATCCCATGACAACTTGGATTTCTTTAAGCGATGAATCCCTTTAGCTCCACAAAGCTTTCTAGCAGTTTTGAGCTTGCTGTTTTGATTTTCTGTCCAACTTCACTGTTTTGCTTCACTGTATTACTCACTATATTAGCTTTGTTTTTGGCTACAGTAGCAACTTTTAAAAGTTCTAAAAACCCACTGTATACTACCTATGCAGCATCAAACAGCAGACAGACAAGGTTAGCGACTAGCTGGCAAACATAGTGGACCATTTACCAACTGAACAGACCGATAATTCCATCAGGGGTTGGTGGAGACCAAACACAGAGCTTAAAGGAGAGTGAATACTGGACATTTAACAGACACACGTGCTCCGTATCAGCTGGATGTGAAATGAATCAGCTGTTTGCTAACAGCTTTACCATATCAATTTCAATCAAAGCTTTCTGCTGCCCCCAAATGGCAAAAAAACAAAATACAAACATACAGTAATTGCAGGTTTAACATGGAAAGTTTCAGAAAGGTATAATGTATTGCAGGATTATTGGGATTACATAACATTGTACATGGGTTTCTATTTTTCTAGTCACTAAGGTAAATTGGGGTTTGAGCTCACATTGCTACAGATTTAATTCAAGTAAATTAAGTGCATCAATATAATTATTGTTACTGTTTTGCCAGTCATGGGGAGGTCTGGCCTTCACCATGCCAAAGATGTGACTGGTGCAATGAC